TTGCGATCTATGCTCAAAACAGCAGTCGACAGTCGGCCGTAAACAATTCCAGAAAGCGCGCGCCGAAGTTCCTGGGCCATACTGCGCAGTGTGATGCGCAGTGCTTTGGCTCGCAATGAGCTTGAATCAGCGTTGATGAAAAATCGCTTGAACGCAAACCGCAGTGACCTTGCTTTTTGTAATGGCGTTTTGAATTGTGATTCATGTTTGTGATTCTAGCTTCGAAAATTTGATTGAACGCACCCAAGAGCAAATACATACATGACAATCTTATAGAACTGAACAACCATTGTCAAACCAGCACTGTGCATCCAGCTGCTTGACAAAATTTTTGATACACCGCAAACAGTGTACCCAATTTGGTGTGATTATTACGTCACAATAGAGTACGCGCAAAGTGCGCATGTTCTCGTACGCATAATAGATGCGCAATGAAAATGACAAAATACGGCGCGGTGAATATGGTCTGATATTTCATGCTTTTTTAACACGTAAAGTCCATAGGCTTTTTCATGAAAGGTAAATATGGTCTCATATTCCCCGATTAGCTCTTTTAGGATTACCAGCAAGTGTAATATGATTTTGTAAAACCACTGCTCAGATGTCTGATACGGGTAATAATAGTCGTTATTTTCCCACTTAAAGTTATTTTCAAGCCCCCTTTCTTTTAGCCTTTTGACAAGGCCTCGTTGACTCTGGCTAAGCGGCTGAGATGAGTCTAGATACCCGGAGTGAACGCGCGACCGAATGACGAATGTCATGAGGCCTTTTGGAAAGTGGGTTTCACTGCTCCGCATGAATTATTCATAGAATGTAGGCCAATACGCCTACTTTGGATTCATTGACCAATCAGAACGGCGATCTTTTAGTTGGCTTCGTTCGTGATTCGTTCCATGTAGAGGTCAGTGGTCAGTGGTCTTAGCACGTACGTATAGTAGGCATGTAGGTCCATGTTCGCACTACGTAGAGTTTACTGTGTGTGTGTGTGTGATGGATACTATATGCTGACGTCGTGCTAGGATACGTTTTCTACGTTTTCTGAAGCGAGTTCCAGTCGGAAACAAGGGTTAACATAAGAAATCCAAACCAGATTGATAAAGGCCACAGGTCTGGACAATTCGCACTGGCGTTCATTCAGGTTTTCGCGATTAGTCTCTTTTTAGTCGCTCGGCGTCTATCAGGCATGTGGCCTTGTTTAAAGGCTACCTTTCTTTTAGAAAAGTTCATATCTGTCAAATGCCGTTGGAATTTAACCTTTTCATTTTTTGTGCCTGCAAATGGGACATAGTACCTTTAAAGGGAGTGTAGCCTGACGAGACTACGTGTCTTGCCCGTGGCGTGACTCGGGGCCATTCGAGTATAACACGACTACGGACGACGCGACTGCAGCAATCACGTGCGTGCAACATATGCGAAACCGAATCACAAGGAGAACTTTGGTTTTAAGTCGCTGACTATACAGTTAATCAAGTCCATTCGTTTACGTGCAGTTGTCCACAAGAAGATGTAGATGGCATCATGGCATTAACCAGTATTTGCCAAGCTACATTTAAATTACAGATGAACAGTAGCGGCCTTTCAATCTCAATCACGCATGCTACTTGAAACTAGTGACCAATCAGGAGGAAGTAAGCGACCAATAAAGGGGTTATAGTGTCTCAAAAACATCCAATCAAAAAGGAAAAGGGAAATTTTGCATGTCTACATCTTGCTCAACGGCGTAATGTCCAATTTTGTTAGCGTACTCAGAAAGTAGCCGATGTAAGCAAGGGATCGAGTAAGAAAAGGAGAAAAAAATAAAAAAATAAATAAACAATGCAATATTTCAACCAGTCGTGAACCAGTCCTGTGCATAATTTTTTCCCCCTGCTCCTGAAGAATGCATTATGCACCTCCGAGTATGACTGACTTTGTCTTAGCCAATCGCATCGGCCTCTCCAATAAATGTGCACATGAAGAGCAGGAAAAATTGCTTGTTATAACGGGAAAGATTAACAATGTTTTTCTTTGTTGTAGGGGCACTGGATTTGGTTTGTAATAGCTGAAATCTCTTTATTGCAGATCTCATTACGAGAGGTTCAGTCAATACTAGGGGAATCTTGGCATCATTATGATTGTATAACGCCGGCTAAAAAAATATCTCCTCCAAACATATCTTTAAAAACAAAACAAAAAAACATTATACCTTGATCTAGCGTAAATAACATTAAGCTAAAATACAAACAAGACATGTGTGACAGCGCATCTTCAATATGCCTCCGCCTGAATTTTGTTAAATTCTTGGCTTGAATAAGTGTTGGAATATTGGAATATCGTGATAAGAAAGAAAGCCATTAATTGTCAAACGATCTTTATGACCTTAGACCTTCGAGTCATTGACCTGACAATCCCAAAATGTGATCACTTGTCTCCCTACAGTGATGCAAACTAGCTTAAAATAGTCATAGGTTTGGCCATTACAAGGTTAATTAACCTTTAAATTCATGTAAATTGATTGGTCTTAGACATTTGACTTTCTTATACCCAAAAATATATTTCATTTGTCTATGCATAGTGATCCACATTTTTACCAAGTTTAAAGTTCATGGATCGAATCATTCTTGAGACATTGCAATAACAATGCTAAAACCCATGACCTTTGACCTATTTACCCAAACATCTACCAGTAATCATATCTTCTTATACATAATATTTGTAGTGAATATAATTTGCATAATGCAAAAATAATCTTTAACCAAAAGTAAATTAAAATTTAAAATATTATCTTTATATTGTTGTAAATTACTAATTTGAACAAATCAAGTGTTCAATCCAGTGTTTTGAGGTCAATGAACAATGCAGACACATTTTAAAATCAATATTATGGTTAATGCTTTCAAAATATGCAAATACGCTTCCATCAAAAGAAATACAAATTCATATTTTGTGCAAATATTTTGTAAAAATATGAATTTGAAGAAAAGAGCTAATTTGTATTTGAAGAAAAGAGCTAATTTGTATTTGAAGAAAAGAGCTAATTTGTATGCAATGCAAATTGAACTGCTTTCCATTACTTAAATTTTTACTAGAATTTTAGTTTGTTGTATAGGAATTATTCCAAAGGGCACGTACTGCAGTGAAATAAATTATTTTGCAATTACTTTTGGGTTACCCCCTAAAATTCAATGGACTTGTCTTCTCAAATATGTGAATGCATTCATCAGGTACGGAATGAATAAACATCATTGTATTATATTCAGACATACGTCATACGCTATTGTGTCTGAAATGTATTTACCAACTTGGGGAATACCAGATTGGGAGGCTCCAACACATGACTGTATAAATAAAAAAGAGCGTAGAGAAAAGTCATACTAGGAACCAAGGTGGAAATATATGCTACGCTGAACTTGTTACAATGAACAGCTCACCGTCTTGGCAAACTGTGTTATTTTTTAGTCCAGAGAGGCCATAATTTACAGATATCCTTGTCAAACCAATGCCTATCATGTAAGTTGTATTATCCATCCTATTTCATTTAAAGCGTGCTTATCAAGTCACACCGCAGTCTCTGTGAATTTGCATGTATTAATGTAAGTCGTATGTACATCCCAACATATAATTTCTTAATTCTGCGGAGATATAGTGTTTATTGACATGAAACTTACAGATCAAGTGTTTGTGCAATATGTAGTCTTGAACATTAGGCGGCAATAGTATACAAATGTTGACTGCTTTGAGGGGTACAGTGAAAACTATGGCTTGAGGTGAGCTCGCAACTGTGCTATTCCCCAAGACGACAGTCGAGGGGCATAGCACAGTTGTGAGATCACCGAGGGCCATGGTTTTTAACCGTGACGCAAAAAAGAAGCAGTCAACATTTGTTTTATATACCGCAAAAGGCGCATCCTTCTTGAGCTCAGAAATTAATTTCAAAGACAGATGAAATACGGCACCGTAACATAATTCTCATTGATTGCTCTTTCAAAATTTTGTTCGGTGTACATGTATGATATGGTGCTGGCACCGCCCCAGCGTATTAAATTGCCATAGCTACGCCCGCGCGCGTACAAAGGCATAATTCTATGCCTGGTCAATATTTTTCACTATACCGCCCAGCAGTCCATAGTGAATTTCATGCCTGAAAATTTGACCAATCAGAGGCCTAGAATCTAGACAAGCGGTATATAATACTAGTCATTTCATAGTAAAACTAAAAGCACAGACTCGTAATCAAGACTAGTTATTTCTTTTGACTGACATTATTATTCAAGAATAGTTATATTTTAGTGCTATTACCAACTGATATTCAAGACTAGTTATGATTTAGTGCACTTACCAACTAATATTTAAAACTGGTTATGTTTAAGTGCTCTACCAACTGATATTTATGACTAGTTATGTTTTAGTGCACTTACCAAGTGATATTTAAGACTAGTTATGTTTTATATAGTGCACTTTCCAACTGGAATTTAAAATTAGTTATGGTTTAGTGCGCTTTCCAATTGACATATTCAAGACTAGTTATGTTTTAGTGCACTTTCCAACTGATATTCAATATTAGTTATGTTTTAGTGCACTTACAAACTCAAATTCAAGACTAGTTATCATTTTATGATACAGTATCCTTCATCAGGAGTGATTTAGCTCACTAGTTATGATTTAGCTAACTTTCCAAATGATATTCAAGACTAGTTATGATTTAGTTTACTTTCCAAATGATACAATCAGCGTGTCCACACACAAAACAATTTATCCCGAAACTCTATAACGAAACGTCGTATAAAGAATCATCGTATAAACTCCAGGGTGTCCACACACACAAGAAAGTAATCCCGAAACTCTACATCGAAACGTTGTATAGGTGTGCAGTTTGTGACTGCAGTCATGAAATGGAAGCAGAAATGAGAGGTCAGGTCTCCTTTCGCGCGAGGTCACGTTAAGCCCCGCCCAGTTATACCGTTCTAGTTCGACTAGTTATACTAGTTACCTCAACACACAACACATCCGATGCCTTTTCTCCCATTCTTTAATTTTTCATTTCAATTTTTCTTTTACTCTTTATGTCAGCTATTGAAATATACAACTAGCCTATAATCATCAATTTTATTCCATGCAAACTGCTAGATCCATCTCAAACAATGGCAAGTTATCGGGGAGAACCGTCCGATCCAATGGCATGTGCTTCAGCTGAACTTGACCTGCCCAACCCTGGTCTTCTTACATTTCGAAAGCTGGCAATCAACAAGGGACAAATCACCAGAGTAGAAGAAAAGACGATGAAATCTACCATTCAAACCCAAGACGATATCCTTGACAGTAAAATTTACAGTGAACAGTTCTGCAATGCTGCCCGAAATGTCAAAGGTGAGATATTTACAAGAGTTATAGTTATAACGTAACCATACAACCCAAGTAACTGGATTCAGTTACGATTTTGCACTTTACTGTGCACACTCTCCACTCCCTTGGGAAGCTTTCCAGCCAGTCACACTGTTTATGGGTGTGCACATGCTAATTCAATCACATTGACCTTTCCATCCTACCTGGTCCCAATATAACACCTGGGTGGAGAGGAGCGATCCCAATGAAACGCCTTGCCCAACGTGCCATGAGTGCCAAGCCAGGGATCAAACCCTGGACTTCTGAATTTCTAGTCAAATAATACTCTTTTCACACTTGTTTTGCTTAACCCCGTACTTTGATTAGCCCCGTACTATCCTTAGCCCCGTACTATCCTTAAGCCTGGACTAACTTTTTTTGCTCTTCACACACCCTATTTTAGTCCCGATACTAAGCGCCTATCCCGGAAGAAGAAAACTCTGCAATTTGTCAGCCCCGTACTAGTTGCATAGCGTGAATATTCATTAATTCGCTCCATTGCGTAGTACCAGACTATTTTTCGTTTCTGTCCTCATTCATTTGCTTGGCACCACAACTTTGGAGTTAGCACCACAATTGCGGGGTTAGCCCTGCTTTTTTGCAGGGCCAGCTAACCCTGTACTATAGGTGGGGCTAGCCCACTTTGGTAAATGCGAGTCTGAACAGAAAGTGGAATAAGCTTAACCCGGTCTATAGGTGGGGCTAAGAGCCTAAGACCGCCCTTTAACCCCACCTATAGTCCGGGGTTAAGCAAAATTTTGCCAGTGTGAAAACAGTATTATAAGACCACTTGACTACGATACCTCAAGGGAAATACTAGGTAGGAAAATATGCAGACTTTCTATTGATATCAAAGTAAAGGATATTAATCCAGTATGCAAACTGAATTTTCCCACTTTATGAGGCAGGTTTATCTATGTTGATATATAACACATTAAAATCAATGTATTTTTATGTTTACTTTAAGGTGTGATGCTCTACCACTCCAAAAAAAAAGGTGAGGCAATCAAGGTATGGGAAGAAACATTAGCATCAGATAAAACCAATCTGAATGCACTAAAGGACATAACACTTGCATACCAAAAACTAGGCTACAACCCCGAGGTACAGAAGTATGAAGCACAGCTGAGGAACACGATACGAGATGCAAGACCTGATGAGAAGCGGATGATGTTTGCTAGGTGCCAGGCTGAACAGGGCTATGCTCTATTTCAAGATCTGCGTACACAATCCTGGAAAGGGATCGACCTGCGTCAAGAACAAGTTAATTGCTATGAGGCGGCGCTTAAAATGGCAGAGGGTCTCATAGGCCAGAAGGAGAAGAGAGATTGGCTTCTGTACACTGGTAAGGCATATGAAAAGCTTTGTCATGTTTCTTACAGGGCTAGTAGAGACGATCTATACATGGATTCCATAGGGAAGGCAATAGAAATTTTACATGAAGCCCTCCAAATGTCTGATAAAAATGCGCTGTACCAGGCAGAGATATGGCTCACGATTGGGACCATGTTTGATCGAGATATGAGGTGTGTAGCATTTGATATCCCTCAACTTGTTGAACAATGCTACAAAGAATGCTGGGAAGATCCAATGATTTGCTTCAAAAAGGCTTTAGAATTCAATCCCGACAATCACAACAATCTGTGGCTTTTGGGTCGTATAGGAATTTGCCTCTACAAGCAGCAAAATTATGACGGTGCCCTGAAATGGTTAAATCAATGCATTCATGCTACTGACAAACTTCCACCTGAGGACCCACAGAGAAATTCATCCTGGAATGCTCTGTACCATAGAGCCAAGATATACATCAAGGAGGCCAAAAGGTATGGCACTCAAAGAAAGCCTGCCCAATCCCACTCGTTTCTTGAGAAAGCACAACTGGATGCAAACAGAGCATTGGAATTAAGGCAATCCCCCATGAATATTGCGTTGGCAGGTGAAGTTAACCATATGCTCGCCAAGAATCGACTGACCCCACAGAAAGAGGTTGATCATCTCAGAAATATAGCTCTTAATAGATTCTATGAGGCATCAGTCACACAGGATGGTTCTACTTCCTCAGACGTCCATCTCAAAAGGGCAGAGTGTCTTCAAGATGGGGAAGACCTGCAATCAGCAATTGAGTCATTCAAAATTGCTTTTGACACTATAGGCACTGGGGCAGACTTTCGTGATTCACTAGCGTCAAAACTGTTGAATGCCATGTTACAATACTACAAAGGCAGTCCACAGCATTTGTTTGGGGAAGTTGCATTCTGGTTCATCTACACCCATAAATCCTGGCAAGCTCCACAGAAGTACATCAAAATGCTTTACGTGGAATATGCTACTGAGATCTTGGATATACTGGAATACAGCAGCCGACATGTTTCTGACGAGTCAACCACAGTACAAAATATGGTAGAATCTTTCAAACAAGTCATGCATGAAAGAAACATAGGAGATGAGAACTTCAAAATCAGATTGAGCAACCTTGGCGAGAAGAGGGACCTCAGTCTTTCTCAAAGGCAAGAGCCTGTACCAACAGCAATTCAAGAGGATGATATACCTAATGTTCACCCACTGACATCGGGTGTAGACTTTGACTTCTACATCCTTCATGACGGAAACAACCCTGAGATAAAAGGCTGGATAAGGTATGCACTGCTAAAGGGTCTTGAATGGAAGTTCTATGCCTTAAAAGGGTACTATCATCAGAGAGACTCAAGATTTGGAGCATTTCCATATGAATCAGAGGCTGAGGCAATGGAGAAATCGGCCAAGATTCTCATTGTCTTAAGCCACGGCTTTGACGGTAACAAAAATCTAACAACGGAAATAGCCCAGGGTTTGCATGCTAAAAACACAGAAAATGTCATTCTCCTCCAGAGAGAGCAAGTGGAAGTGCCTACCAAGCTAAGATGTTACAAGAAGTTTGATTTCACTGTGCAAGTGGACCTTCCACAATTGGTGAGGTACCTACTGCCAGTACGTCCTCTATGCGACATCTAAGAAATGTCCTTGAACAAACTCTGTGACACTTTGTAAGAGACTGCAATCCAAGCCTTACCTTATTAAGTGCTCCAGTCAATTTACTACAATTGAGTAAATGTACATGTTTAAAGAGGAGGTTAAGTTCTGGGAAGAGGTAAAAAATAATTTGTGAGCGTTATCATTGTTATTATGCAAGGGTGGAAGAACATCAGATTAAACATGTTCCCTGAAAAGCATGGCTCTTCAAATGCCTTCATATTCTAAATATGACATGAAACATCGTTAAAATCGGAGGGTAGGTTTTTTTCGCCGTGTGCTCGTGTAGTCCCATATACATCATTCAGTGTACAGTGCTTGTAACTTTGCCAAGATTTGGCCAAATTTCTTATCATTTTGATGATTCCAAAACCTTGCAATACACACGAATACTTATATACTAGATGATCAACCTTTTCTGATAGATTCCACACCGTTTCTTTCACAATGCAATCACATGAACAGAACTCAACTTTATCTTTAAATAGAAGATCGAGTTCCAGGAAAGATGAAAAGTAATTTGTGATCTTTTCCATCCTTTTTATATTGGTGTTGAAGGGAAATAACATAGAAAAAACATGACAGATGAAATTGGACTCCTATATGCCTCCACCCTAAAATCAGTATAAAATATGCAATATGTTCTTAGAGATTTCTCACTTTTTTAATGCAACAAAATTTATATGTACTGAACTAAAAATATGATCATGATTAAACAGATAAAGTCTCTTACCAGTACAACTAACTACGAGATAGACACTGGACTACAACACCTGTTTAACCTGAGGAACCAATTGGTTCAAGAACATTTTGGAAAGTCTGCATCAAAATCCTCTGGGGTTATGGAAATACATCAGAAGTATTAAAGAGTATGGAAAATCAGGGCATACCGACACTCAGACACCAAGGAGTCCATTTTTTCTCTGACAAGGACAAGGCGCAATCTCTAGCTGACTACTTTAAGTCGGTGTTTTACGCAGGAAAACCTGGACCAGACCCTTTCACTCCTACCAACTTGCCAACTGTGGAAGATGTCAACGTTATGGTAGAAGGGACTCTGAAGTTGCTTAAGACAGTAATCATTCACAAAGCTACTGGTCCTGATGGAATATGTCCCAGGATGCTAAAGGAAACCGCAGATGAAATAGCACCAGTAGTACTGTGCGACCTATTCCAATAATCCTTAGACAGTGGAGATCTACCAGAGGATTGGCTTTTAGCCAATATCACTGCACTGTTCAAGAAAGGTGATAAAGCCTGACCATCAAATTATAGACCGGTGTCCTTGACAGCGACATGCAGTAAGCTTCTTGAGCATATAGTTCATTCTCATATAAGTCTGCATTTGGAACGTCACAATATCCTTACTCCCAAGCAACATGGCTATAGAAAGCATCATTCTTGCACCTCCCAGTTGATACTTGCCTCCCATGTTTGGGCTAACGCAATAGACTCTTGGCACCAGATGGACATAGCAATTTTTGACTTTTCAAAAGCATTCAACACTGTCCCTCATGAAATGCTGGCCGCAAAACTACATATGTATTAAATTTGTGAGAAATTACTTAACTTGATTAGCAACTTCCTCACTAAACGAAGACAAAGAGTCGTCATTAATGGTACAAGCTCTGATTGGCACAACGTGGGGTCAGGCATACCAAAGGGGACATTCTTTGGCCCCCTGCTGTTCTTGCTCTACATAAATGACATCACCGATAACCTACAGTCTGAAATTCGCCTATTTGCTGATGATTGGTGTTATACAAGGTCGTTAAAAACCTATGAGTGGCAGATGAAGTTTAATGCTAAGAAATGTTTTGTCATGAATATGACCAACAAGAGGAAGATATTGAGATTCCCCTATACTCTTCATGCCCAAAAGATTGATCCAGTTGAACATCATCAGTACCTTGGAGTCTTCCTAACCCACAAATACAAGAGGGATTTCCAGTATGCTCACATCACCACGAAGGCAAACACTAACAGGGTTCTTAGAATGCTATAGCGTAATCTTAGAGGTTGTGCGAGAACCATCAAGAGCACTGCTTATCTTGCACTAGTAAGACCTCATTTAGAATATGCAGCTAGTGTCTACGACCCTTATGAGACCAAGTACATCAAGCAGCTGGAAATGGTCCAAAGTTGTGCTACCAGGTTTGTCTGCAATGATTATAACCAACGTGCTAGTATTACTGACATGGTGAAGGATCTGGATTGGGACTCCCTGGAACATAGGCGAGAAGTTGCAAGACTTGCTCTGATGAAGCAGATCCAGAGCAGTCACTCTTCCATCCAGAAGACCCTAACACCTCCTGCTGGTACTAGATCCTGTCTTTTGTCAATCAGCAATAGCCGGCAATTGATCTAGACTTTATATTGCAATTTGCAAGACAGACTTCTTCAAGTTCTCCTATTTCCCTCATACATGCAAGGACTGGAATAAGTTACCTGATAGCATTATCAACACAGGATCAATTGATTCCTTTAGATCCCATGCACTAAAATTCCTGAAAGACCGTTCTAGTCCATGACCACGCCTTGTTTTTGTGTCTCTACATGGACTTTAAGTCTGTCAACACGTATTGAAGAAGAAGAAAAATAGTTTTTAAACATAATGCAAGCAATTTGACTGCATTATTACGAACCAACGAATCAGGCATACATATTACTGTATGGTTTGTGGGTTCATAATACGAATTGATGACGAATTGTGAGTTAGTATTATAGGCAGGTGAAAAATCAAAGACATAAACTGACTGATATGTTATTACTATTGATTTGATATTTGCCCTTTTTTACTGACAATATTGAAGTTTACAGAAAACATTCTTTATAATACTCAATAATATAATAAGTTAGAAGTGATTTCACAAGTTACACAAGCTCTGAATTGTTTAACTGGTTTATTGTTGCATATATATATGTATTGGTGTTAATGATAATATACTTATCATCAACTTGTGTACATGAATATATGGTTACTATTTTTTTCTAATAATAATAATAATACTGTTTTTTTATATAGCGCTCAATTTGCAAAAAATGTCTTTTTGTACATTATAGACTGCAAAACAAGCAGGGAGTGTAACCAACAGCTGTGCACTGCTTCTGCATTGAAGCTCAGTAAATTATGAACTAAGTTCAAAAGCCTTTTGAGATTTCAATTTAGAACAATACAATAAAAGGAAATCTCATTGGAAAGATACTTAGAATTATCATTAAAGGTAATACAAAGTTTTGGGAAATTTGAAAATTGCGTGGAAAGTGATTCTTTACAATTTTGATATATTTGGATACCCCTGTGGATGTATTATAAACACTAGAAAATTTAGCCCCTAAACTACTTCTGCTTTCGAGAAAAATTTAATATAAAAATTTACCGGTGCTCCCGGTAAATTTTGATAAATTTAAAATAGCGCCTATGGCCGTACAATGGTAGCTGCGACCATGAAAATCTCAGAATATGTAGTTGTGATATATAATTTCCGACCAGGAACAACTAATCGGTAGATTTTAGTCAAAAAACATTGTTTTATAGCTTAATTTATATCTTGACCTTGCGAGGGAGCTATACAACATAAAGAGTTTATTATTTACAATTTCATAACTTTAGACTCAATTTCATCCGCGACAACGATCACTGAATATTGTAGGACCGCATATGCGTCCAATATGTTCATTTGAACCAAATTCATGACCCCATACCAAAACTTTGTATTACCTTTAACATTTGACAGTAACAAACATACATGCTGTCTAAGGTCTTATTTTGTAAAGCTTTGTTGTTGTTGTTGTTGTTATTATTGTTGTTAATGTTGTTGGGTGTTGGTATTTTAGTGTTTTGAGCAATAGGCAATTGTAAAACTGCAAAAATACAAGAAATTCTGCATTTTATGTATATGATAATGATAAGTGTATATGTGTGATGTATTTTGTAATGATTTAACTAATTAGTAACTCTATAAGCGTGTCTCATGTAAATACAAACACATGAAAATATGTGACACATGCTGTATCATGTCTGTTTAGTATGAAAGACTGCAAAATTAAGTGTTAAAAATGGTTGTAATTGCTTCTATTTGTGAAAAGATAGTACAAACAGCATTGTAAACTACTGATTTAGACTATGATAATGTTGGTTGTACAAAATAATTTGTACTTGTTTACTTTTGAAGACATCACATAGACTAAAGAATATTGCATAACAAGTTTAATCATTACACAGTAAACTACAATGCCAAGGAGTTGTGTTTACAACAGAACAAGTCATTAGTATCTGCAATTTGGAATGTAAAATCTTAATATTTTACCTTGTGTTTTGTTTGTTTTGTAAATAAAGCAAGAGATGATTTTACCAAATCTATAACAAGAGCTATAACAGTACATCTTGAATGAAGGAATTTCATGTATACCATATTACATGCTTTGTAAAAAGAATAAGGCTAAGATGCAAAAGAATATTGCATTTTAGGCAATATATAAATACTCTATAAGATATCACAGCTCAAATTGTTAATGTCCTATCCTATGCCTTCTTGTAAGGGACATCAACAAATAAATTTCTTATATATTATCTCATGAATGGCCACAAGGCATTATATACTACTGAGTCCCGGACTTGACCATTGAGCAATCTACATCAAGCTAATAGGGTCATTCCATAGGGTTGGGTCATTTTTATTTTTTCAAATTTAAATGTATTTTTTAGAAAATGATAAGTACCGGTATGTTGTATTTAAAGGTAAAGACCAGTATTGGAAACGCCCCAATTTCAAAAAAATGAAATGGAAGCTCTTATTACCAATCATGTGAAAGAATATGTTTTGAATAATACATGATGATAAAAATGTTGACGGAAAACCGCCTACTAATTGATATATTTGGTAAATTAGTGTATCTCTCGCCTGTTGAGAGATACAAATGCACGTGTTGCGCACGTGTGTGTAGTCCCATATACATCTTTCTGTGTACAGTGATTCTAACTTTATGAAGACTTGGCCAAATTTCTTATCATTTTGATGATTCCAGAACCTTGCAGTACATCTACGCTAGATGATCAACCTTTTCTGATGGATTTCACAATGTTTCTTTCACAATGCAATCGCATGACCATAACTGGTCTTTAGCTTTAAGAGTAATGTATGATAGAATAAATAAACATTAACAGTTTAAATACTGAGGTAGCTGTCTGATGTGGGAATTCCCAAGCAAACTATTAAGAGCTAGACTTTAATAACAGACTTTTTTCATACAACAAATGAGGTAGCAATCATCAGATTTGAAGACACACTATTGTTATGTTATGGACCAAAATTCAAATTGTATGAATAATTTATCAATACTTTGCACCTCTACAGGAAGTAAATAGGAAGATGAAATGTTTACAAACATCACCATTGTTCAAAGGCTAAGACTCATACAACTTCCAAGTAGATCTAAAGTAATTATGCACTGCATGGTCACTTTATAGTCTTCTTAGGCCATTACCAAAATATACATGTTTAGCGTCCAAGCCCGCTACCTTTTTTGGGGCCGCCTCCTATTTATTTTTTAATTTTTTAATTTTTTATTTTTTTATTTTTTTATTTTTTAATTTTTTAATTTTTTTAATTTTTTAAAGAAAAAAACATGAAAAACACTGCTAAAATGGATCTATTTCTGATCTGATTAAAAAAAAAAAAAAAAATTCAAAAAAGCAGGATGCTAAACATGTTTTTTTTTAAATTTGGCCTTATTCATTACATCACTCTTTCCAGTTCAAAGACCCACTCTCCATTACTGAGTAAAATGTTCATCTGGTCAAGGATTCCTGGTTGACCAACCTCCATTGGAAGGTTTACCCACTATAAAAGGAGTTCACTTCACACTCCAGTCAGAGAAGATTTTAGACATTAAACTGAGAATACGTTCCAGTCATTTATGATTTCAGAGGGTATATACTCATCATCAGATTTGCTCTAGACTTCAATTCATTGTCATTGTAATACATTCATCTATATCTTCATGTTATATCTGATCTGAATAAATGTTAAGCTCCAGCTTTGAGTTTATTCAATTTTTGTCACCATTTGTCATGATTGACTCCCTATACTTATGAAAGTAAACTGTGCTATGTTACCTGTTCCCATACAAAAAATACGGAACAAAAATAATACACATATAACACATAACCTATACATTTACTTTCAAATATAAAACTCTTCTAATGACATATAAATGTTCACAGATTATCTCTCTCAGAAATACTTGATAACATAGACATGAAAGCATTAGAGTAATAACAAGGTCTAAAGCATCTGGAATGTAGACTAAACATTACATTTCCACAAGTCCTGTAAACTGACTTATTTTGATAATATCTGAGAACCACTGCTGTTAGCTTAGTTTTTAATAGGCTTTCATTAAATATTCAATATACACCAATTGGCTGGAAAATTATAGGATTTTAATTTGGCAATCTGATCAAGTTTAGTGATTTATGTTGAAGAGTACACAAAAAAGGGCCTGTACATTCGGACTACAAACCTGAAGCAACATGCTGCAGAAGACTTTAAGTCTATAAATAGATTTGGGAATTCCCATCCCTGTCTATTTCAATACCTACAGCTGAGCTGCACTGCACATCATAGAATGTTCCAGAAGGTACTTTTCTAGCTACCTGATATCAAAACAAACCTCTGAGTAACAACAGTTTCATTAACGCAAAACAACAATTTTTTTTCTCAAATAAACAACCATTGGATGAGCTGAGAAAGAAACAAAGTTTTGCAGGATATGATCTACTGGCAAGTGAGTTTCATGTAGTTTGAGGTCAAAAGATGGTGCGTGTCTGGACAGGTTGTCTATCCAGACAGTCGATTTAAAGAGAAGGTTGAGTTCTGGGAAGAGGTGTAAAATAATTTGTGAGCGTTATCATTGTTATTATGCAAGTGTGGAAGAACATCTGATAAAACATGTTCCCTGAAAAGCATGGCTCTTCAAATTATGCCTTCATATTCTAAATATGTCATGTAACATCGTAAAAATCGAGACAGATTTTTACGCCACGTGTTCATGTAGTCCCATATACATCTTTCTGTGTACAGTGTTTGTAACTTTACCAAGACTTGGTTAAATTTCTTATCATTTTGATGATTCCAGAACCTTGCAATACACACAAATACTTATATGCTACATGATCAACCTTTTCTGGTCGATTCCACGTTTCTTTCACAATGCAATCGCATGACCAGAACTCAACTTCATCTTTAAAGCAGCAATTTGAAGAAGCTTACAAGTAAAATTTCATAAATCTTCTAAGACTGATGTTTGACGAATATTCATGGTGTTTAGTGCTATTTTATGAATATTTTCTGTTAAATTTGAAGGCAAAAAGAGAAGTCTTTAAGTTTGCTTAGTGTCCGGTAATCCAACCCCACATCATATGTATTAAAAGACACTATGTGAGGACAGTATTTTGATAAAATTGAGACTGGCAACATGTCAATGGAATTAAATTCCAAATTCATCTCTATTGCATTTCAGTGTAGAATTCTGCATTTAATACAATGCTGATATTTATCTTCATTTTTAATCCAATGAATTGGTTATGGATTGGTCCAGAACTCCAGATATAAATAATCACCTTGGTATATAATTTTGTTTTTCTTTTTTCAATCAACAATACCATGTAAAACCGTTTGCTTAGTTCTCAAATTCAGTTGATCAGCACTAGCCTCTGTAACCATTGAAATTGTTTCCTTTTACAAATCAGTAATGCTTGATGCCTTTCATAGACAAGGCAAACAAACTGCTCAAGAAAAATTAAGAAAGTAAAATGAAATCAGCACCACAGCACTCCATAGTTCTGTACTTTTAATTTAACGAACGGGCTTATTTTGGGTGTACATACTTCTTTACCTAAAATACTTTGATTCCTTTGCCTTCTATTTACCTGTAAAATATTGCCTTTGCCATTCATTCACATAGTGAGGTGTAGCGACTTATTATGTGGTTCAGCGCACCCAGTCTAAAAAGGGTTTTTTATGTGTGCATCTTACTTTTTTAAAGAGTGTTTCACTCTTGTACCATTAATATTTGTTGAAAGATTGCAAGAGGGTAAGAAGAGAGTAAATATCATTTTACAAAAACTGAACTAGATGATGTTTGATATTATGACTCTACAATTGAATTAGCTCATCTCACGACAGTGATGGATAATAGCATACATCTTCAGTTCTAGAGGAAACCGTGTTAAAAAGGGTAAAACCTAAAAATTTTGGTGATACAGTACATCTTAAATCTGTGACATTTGACATAGAAAATCAGAAAACCAGAGAGAAAACTTGAAACATGACTGCTGTTCAGTGCTGCTAGTGAAAAGAAAAGGAAAGTTTTATGTAGATTGTACTAGTGTTGTAACATCACAGATATCTCCAATTCTGTTTAACCGCCAGTCAAAACCGGACGGTTTTTGGTTAAACGATTAAAAAAAATATATTAAAAAACAAAAAACAAACTTTCATTTAACTGCGAGGTGCAGTTGAAGGCGCCGATTTGTGCTTGTGAACTTGTCACAAATAGTAACAATGTCGTTTTTAGAAGAATGTGTAAGATCATTAATGTAAATTAAAAACAGTAGAGGACCTAGGATAGAACCTTGTGGTACGCCGTGTGTAATAGAAAAAAAATTGGAGGAATTATTATTACTGAGCTGGGAGACATTGCCAGGCAGGTGGATCGAGGGGCATACATGTAAATCAAAACTTTAACAAAATAAAAAAATAAAAAAAATAAAAATGGGAAAACGAAATAGTCCAATTGAAAACGGATAGTGCCATGGGTGGTCGGATACCGGACGGTTAAACGTTTGACTACAGCACTAGATTGTACCTCATTCTTTGTTGTATATATACAACACATGCTTCGATGACAATTGCTCCATTGTTAATATCCTACAGTACACTAACTGCATTTTCGCTTCATTCCTGTTCATCTAACCCTAACCTTCACTAAACCTGTACCTTCAATGAAATAAAGCATATATAGCAATTATCACCATAGCCGATGTTAGAGAACCTCTGCCTTATTTGAAGCCAATGAGGTGAGCTTCATCATAAATGTGAAACAAAGACTAATGCTTTTTCTCACACTTTGTCTTTTCATCTAGGAGCTTAACTATGGCATGTGCTTCTCTTATAGACAGCATCTCTGATGTGGACAATCCTCTTGGGCTCTTGGGGTTAACCCTAGCCTTCAACGGAGGGAACCTGAATGGCAAACAAGAAGCCCAAGCAAGACGTAAACTAAACAGACGTCTCCCTCTGTTGGAGAGAGAGCTAGCGGATCGTCCAATTCGTCATGGTAACAGAAACTATGTGGGGATGCTGTATTACATACTACAAGAGAAGGACAAAGCTATTGAATGCTGGGAGAAGACAGTAGAAGAGGATCCTACAAACCTCAATGCCATTAAAGATCTATGTACTGCATATGCCAAGCTTGGAGACCGTAAGGAATCACGTAAGTGGCAGTCGCGTCTAGAGGAGACCCAGAGCAAACTATCTGGCAATCCAGACGATGAGAAGAGAGTGTATGCTCGGTGCAGAGCTGAGCAAGCCTTTGCTGCATGCTGGGACTTGCATACACAAACATGGAGTAAAGGAGTGACAGCAATGGAAGAAACCGTGCAAAAATTTGAGTCAGCGCTGGAGTATGCAGATAAATTGATCAGCCAAGATGAGAAAGAAGATTGGCACTTGGCAATTGGGCAAGCCTATGAACGCCTATCCCACAGACACAAACGTAGCAACAATATTCCACAATACATATGTGCCATCAACATGGCAGCACAATATCTACACTTTTCCATATCTTCCTCACAGCACACCATGCACAAGGCTGAGGCATGGGGTGTCCTCGGTAATGCCTTAACCTATGATTCAAACGACACACCTGCTTCAATACCTTCCTTTATCGAAACCAAATACAAAGCATATTGGTATGAACCCTCACTATGCTATGACCAAGCACTTTCCCTTGACCCTGGTAATGCATGGCTTTTGGGAAACTATGGTCATCTCCTCAGAAAACTTGGATATTATTCAGCTGCGATGGAGAAACTTGATAAATCAATTGAGAGTGACCAGAGTCCTTCATCATGGTTCTCCTACGACAACCGATCCAAGGTATACAAACAATTAGCAAGGAACACCGCTGATAAGCAAGTGAGGGAAAGGTTTCTTCGCCGAGCAGCCGAGGACTCAAAGATGGCAGACATCTCTAATCCCAATCCTCGGTCCCAGTCACAGAGGGGCCAGATAGCACATGACATGGCTGAATCTTCAGGCACTAATCAGGAAAAGAAACACTACTCAGTGCAAGCCCTTGCACACTTTGCAGAGTCCTTACAGATCCAAGATGGAATGGACATAAGTGATGCTCACTTAAAGCAGGGTCAATGCCTCCTGAAACGTGACAAGTGGTCAGCAGTCCAATCTTTTAAAATGGCATACAGTACGAGCCCTCCGAATGACTTCCAGGAAACAATAGCATCAAAGTACCTGCTTCCAAATCTCCTAGACCACTATCAGAAGGAACAAAAGCCTGAGAACCTTCTTGCAGAGCTGGCCTACTGGATTACTAATGCTAGTGTACGGCATCAATCCATGTCCTCAATTTTCAAGATCTTGGGTAAGCTGGCTAGAAACAGATTTCAAAATGAAATCCTGGAAGTCATGGAGTACATAGTAGTCTATCAGCCAACTGTGTTAGGTGTGGACAGAATGATTGATGAAGGTTTCATTGCCTTGAGGAAGACAACTTTTAGGAGAGAAAACTTCAAGAGACTGTGCAATCTGGAAAGACAGCATACAACCAAAATGCATTCTTCAACATCTCTTGACCCAACCACTCCCCTGCCTCACCATCAGCCTCCAGAGAAAGCAAAGAATCCAAAATGGCAGAATGACTTCTACGTCATCACACCAGTTGAATCAACTCAGTGGGTACAGTACTTTCTCCTTCCTGGTATGGAGTGCAACTTCTTCTCTCTTAAAGGCTTCTATCAGCAAAGGGATCAAGTAATAGGGAAACTGAAGGTGAGATCTCAAGCAGAGGCAATCTCAAATTCTGCTTCCATCGTCATTGTTTACTCTGGGTCTTTCTCAGATGATGAGGAATGTATGCGTCTCTTTGGGGCTGCATGTGAAACAAGGCCAGCCCCACAGATGGCTCTGCTAAAGCTTGACAACACACCAATCGCTCCACAGATGGCTCGTATTACACAGTTTGATTTCAGCGGGAGTCAGACACAAGTTCCGCCACAATGGTTTGATCTCGCTAAATTTCTTTCTTGATTGTGGAATAGCTAAAAAATACAGTCAATGTAACTGGGTCTATGTGATTTGAGTTTTAGCCAAGACAATCCTAGTTTTGCTCTCAGAGATTACCCATACTGATTTATCCAATGTCCCAATTCCTAATGCTCTAATACTTCATACTGGCATGTAAAAGGACAAACAAAAATCAAATTATTTTATGAGAAAACAGTAATGTGTTCATTATGTATATAACATCATTCATGGAATGCTCAGAGAGAGCTTTCTGAGATAAGCCACCCTGCACTTGCACAAATTTTGGTCCTGTCAAGTCATGTCATTTTGTTGAACACAGACGGTGAACAATGCAATTTGGGCCACGTTGTGCAGACCAGTTCAGTTCATGACTTCTCTGGCTTGCCATGGCATGCATTGTCACTCTACGCTAAGGTCAAAGTTGAACATTGTCCATGCACTGTCACATACTGACATGCACTTTGTCATAAAATAGTTTTATCAAGGTTGTGCACAGTTCACGAATTGTTCATGAAAGCGGCTTTAGAGAGTAAGTTGGGACAATTTTTTGCATGTACATTTTCATCTTTTATGCATCCCCATGAACACTTCACGGCTACTTCCTTCATTGCCACACATTGACATGCAACTGCTTAAATAATGTAGTGTAAAAATTTCAGTGTTTACAAAACTAATCAATGTATAACATTAATGCTGTTCAGTGTCTGGACCACTATGAAACACTTCATGTTTTCATGAGTGGTAAACAAAAGACAACTGTATGGAAGATTTTGATATTTGTTCTCTAAGTTTTTCATCTTCTTGCAGATTCTTCCTCCATTCATTCCTTTTCTTCATGAGATGAATTTAACTCTTTAAAATGTTAAGTAGACGTATTCACCAAACTTCTCTGCAACAATGAGAGAATTTGTCAGAATAGGTACTTGTAGAATATCTAATCATTACAAAAAGTGTTTACTCTACTTTAATTTCAATAACTGACACAAAATGGTTAATTCCATTTACAATACATTTAAAGGTAAAGACCAGTATTGGAAACGCCCCAATTTCTAAAAATTAAATGGAAGCTCTTTTTACCAATCATTTGAAAGAATATGTTTTGAATAATACATGATGATAACAATTTTGACGGGAAACCGCCTACTAATTGATATATTTGGTAAATTAGTTTATCTATTGGCTTGTGAGAGATAAAAACGCATGTGTCGCTTGTGTGCGTAGTCCCATATACATCTTTCTGTGTACAGTGCTTGTAACTTTATGAAGACTGGGCCAAATTTATTATCATTTTGATGATTCCAGAACCTTGCAGTACATCTATGCTAGATGATCAACCTTTTCTGATCGATTTCACAACGTTTCTTTCACAATGCAATCGCATGACCATAACTGGTCTTTATCTTTAAAGAGAAGATTAGACTTGATGGAAAGGTTGGTTATGTTTTACATAAGAAGTGGTTTATACTGTGATGTTTTTGAATCATTGAAATGATAAGAAATTGACCTGTCTAGCTCTAAGTCAAATGCATTGTACACAAATATGTGGCAGGAATGTTTGGTCAAATACATTTCATCTATTTCTCATTATATTTCAATGAGGGCATATGAAGAGTACTTCTTATCAGGATACATTTCTAAAATGATATTCTTCCAAACTGACATACAAAGAATGGAAAAGCTCACAAATTACAGTCAAACTTGTCCACTGAGGCCACCCAAGGGAAACAGAAAAAGTGGCCACTATACAGTGTGAGTCAAAAAAAAGTTTACACTTAGAAAATTGCTAATTATTTTTAAAATCTTCTATGAACAGTAAATAATTATACATCTTATAAAAGAGTGTTTTATCCCAAATCATTTGGTATCATTTTTTGTGGTATGTGTTCACGCTTGGATGAACAGGAGGCATTGTTTGCGAGAGTGCAAAATTCGATTTGCGCCAAAGTTGCTTGTGTGATGTTTGAATAAAGCAATTGGGATTTAATTCGGTCTTTGCAGACCCAAATAACATCCCTAACAAAATTAATCATGCCACACATATCAAATATCGAATATTTAATATCAACGAACATTTGTGCGCGCGCGTGTGTTTGTGTGTGACTTTGCCTCTGCAAAAAGCATAATTATGCAATGCATTTCATTTGATACATTCAATTCATTCTCTCACTCCGCTAATCCCAACATAATCCGTACTGTAGGCATAACTTTGGCGCAAGTCGATTTTCGCACTCTCGCAAAGAATGCCTCATGTTCATCTTAGCGTGAACACATACCACACAAAAATGATACCAAATGATTTGGGATAAAACACTCTTTCATAAGATATATAATAATTTACTGTTCATAGATTATTTTTAAAATAATTAGCAATTTTCTAGGTGTAAACTTTTTTTTGACTCACACAGTAGACAGGTGGCCTTTCAAGACAGGTAGGTTCTACAAAACACATCTCTCTCTCACGAGGGAGACAAAATGCATGGTCACTTCAGACAGGTGGCCTTTATAGAGAGGTGGATAGTATATTCAGATACCGGTAGGTTTGACTGTATTTGTTCATCTTTCCCGGAACACAACCTTCTCTTTAGTTAAATAGGAACTTATTAATGCACTGTGTTATCCCACAATAAAGGGGAATCCAACCCTAACAGACAACCACTCTAAAAGAAAGCAAAAGAAATCAGAGAAGCAGACTGGTGAAAGTTTGAATCAATTCGGACAAACATTAAGAGAGTTATGAATTTTTGAAATTTGTAATCACTATACGCATGGGCACTTCAAAGTGGCTGAATCGGTTATGTCATAATATCATCATGATGAAGTGCTGGACTAAATTATATTAAAAAATGGGCAGTGTGCAGAGTATTCTTTAACACGTTTATAATTTATAATGTATATTTTAAACATTGTCATTTCAATAGTGACAAACTCATACTGTTGCTATAGGAATCATAACGTTGTGTGCCTAATTTTATGTGTTTTATCCACATCTTTCAATATATTTTTGGTACTTTTTAGAACTATGAATAACAAGAGAGGCTGACGGGGGCGTTCAAGTCACTTCATATAATCTCATTCTTAATTGTACGTAAATGCTAAATCATACTGCCCTACCATATTAAAAGCATATTTGTATGTTTTGATAATTATGTCTGATATTATGTACCCCGATTACCACGCAACCATTAGTAACGTCCATAATTAATTGAAAAGAAACAAACAAACAATAAAAGTAATATCCTTCTAAAAAGCGTAAGTTGAAAAAGTCACTCAAAAATTGAGAAAGTGCTTTAAGACAATCATGGCGGATTTTGAATAAAATTTGATCATTTTGATGTTATCTCATTATCTTTTTTGAAAAATAAAAGGCGCATTATGAAACAGATTGTAAAATCAACCACAAAAATTGACTTTGGGGGATTCTCACTCGATTTTCTCTTTATCTTACAGCCCATGAATTTTAGTCTCTGTATTCTAAAGAACTTAAACATTACCTTATAAGATGAAGAATAATTTTAGAATAAGACAAGAAGGATCAGAGAGTCCTAGATTAATACTAATTTCGCAGGATTGAGGCTGAATTCATCTTGTTGATATAAATCTAATTGATATGATGTATTTTTTGTATATATTTAAGAGAATTGGATAACTGGTAAATATATTTTCACATCTTTCTATGTGTGATGGTCTTGACTTTATCAGATTGCAAATCACTTTTGTTATGCTTATCGATGATATTCATTAAAATACTTATTCTGGAAACAACAGCAATGTCAACACAATTCTGTTATTAAATGTTGACCTCTGACATTCTCAAAAAAAATAAAAAAATGCTGGACTACTTCCCCATTTGTTTCAACACACGAAATGATTAAAAATGTCACTTTTTCAAAATATATGATTCAGAAGGGTCTTTTCTTTTTAGATGACCTATAATATGTCGTCCATAATATATTTTGAGTAGTGCCGCAAGGGAGAAGGCACTTACGATAAAACAGAAAATTAATGGAATTTATGTATAGACAGACGTGAGAGTTGTCCCATGACTACGTCACAAACATTGACCAAATTGCCAATTTGAGATTCACATGGATTTAGTGATCTCATATTTGAAACATTTGTAATCCCTTATTATTGGTCTGATATATTTTAAACTTTTACCATTCTGTTTTTCTTACTTTTCTTCTTCCATACCAATCAGGTTGGATTGCCCTTTAAGTTCATTATATGAGACTGAATAACCTCAGGTGTTTACCTGTGACCAGGGAGGTGATAGAGAAGGAGTGGAAACTCTTGTAATTATTCAAACTCATGCGTGAGTTCTAAAGCGTAACAATGGGATGCGTAACATTCCAACTGGCTTTGAAGTTCCATGCTCCGAGCCGCTCTTCCACTGCGGGGAATTTCACATTCATAAAATTATCTGCAAAATTTCAGTGTAAATTATCAACTTCATATGGGGATTGTAATGGGAATAGTGCATCAAACAATTTTTCAAATTTAGTACTCTGCCCTTCCTTTAATTTGTGTTCCAGAGTTGGTAAAAGAAAAATTAGATCCTGACAAAAACTCAATATTTTAGGATAAACCGATTATTTTCGGATGTATAATGTCCCATTATTTAATCCATTTACTATCTCATCCTTTTTTTTTTTGCAGTTGGAAAAAAAGAATGAAATTACAGAAGTTTGTGTTCACTTGCCCGACTCATTACACATTCAACAATTAATGAGAAATCATTGAAAGGGAGAGCAAACATTTTCTGAGATACCATTTTCTGATGTAGGAATTCTAAAACCTGATATTTCATGAGCTCTTTTATCTCGCCACCTGGTCAACAGTTGCAGAGTAGCGCATAACTTTTTGGCGGCTTGGAGCATGGGGTCAAAGGAGAGCGGTTTGATTCCACTCCTTCTCTATCACCTCCCTCCTTTGACTAACAGCACATAAACTCATGAAGAAAATACCTTGTACCATTATGTAAAAAATTGGGTAAACATTTTTCTTTCTTCAAATTTTGAATAAAATTATTGTTTTTTCTGCTCATTGCAATTACTTGCTGAGGAAAATATTAAAATGGGAACGTTTTTTGAAAGTGACTTTGTGATTATAAATGTTTGTTTAAATCTTTTGTGAACTAGTGGAAGACAAAGTTCTAACAATGTTGACAATAAATTACTGGTATTAATAATTAACTTATTTGTCTCATTGTGCAAATAATTGAGTACAATAATAAGGGTGGCAACAATATTTTGTTATAAACTTATGTATGCATACATCAACTAGTCTACTCAACAAGTCATTACTCAGAGTGTATTAAATTTCCCTATCTTTTTTTTGGAGGTAATATTTGAAGCTCATATTTTGAATACAGTACAGTACATGGAACCCCTTACATCAAGAGCAAAGCATGTTTTGGTGATTGCTACACTTTAACACAAAATAACGCACGGTAAAATTAAAAGTAGATGTAGAGCGCTTTGTCAATGTCTGAAGCTGACAATTCAAGGCACCTAGCAGTCAATTTAGTAATACTGAGGTAGCTCTCTGATGTGGGAATTCTTAAGCAAACTTTTTAAAAGCTAGACTTTACTAAAAGAGCCCTGTAAATTGACTGCTTTTGATAATATATGAGAACCACTGCTAATAGCTTAAGTTTTTAATATTTTGTCATTAAATGTTGCATGTACACCAATTGGCTAGAAAATTATAGAATTTTAATTCGGCAATCTTCAGTGATTTATGTCGAAGAATAGACAAAAAAGGACCTGTACATTCAGACTACAAAACTGAAGCAATATCTGCAGAAAACTGTTAGTCTATAAATATATTTGGGAATTCCAATCCCTGTCTATATAAGTACCTACAGCTGAGCTGCACAGTACATCATAGAATGTACTTTTGTAGCTTGGTGATATTGAAACAAACCGCTGAGTGACAAAAGTTTCATTAATAAAGTTTGTTCAACGCAAAACAACAGGAGGAGGTGAGTT